GGCGGGGGGGGGGGGGGCCATAATCCCCCCCAGTCAAGGCCGGGGGGGGGGCACAGGCTGCCCTCTGTACCTCAGATCAGGAAAATATATAATATAAAAACTGTTGGTGTCAGCACTGAGCTCAGCCTCATCCTACTCCACAGTCGGACGGAGCTGAAGCTACAGCCGTAACCGTGTTGGAGGAAACTGGGTCGGGTCTCGTAGCAAAATGTTCAAACCTACAGGTTGAAGGAAACATCACAGGAGTTTGGTTTGGTTCATTTCACACAATGTCTTTGTTATAATTGAAGATGTTCAACCATTTTTATAGTCTGTAAGTTGTTATATATGACAAATATAATTATCTATATAAATATATTTATTTATTATTTATTATTACTTTACTAACCCCCCAGGAGTTCCATTATTATTGTCATCTTTTTATCTATATTACTGATTTTTGATATTTTTTTTTGTTTTTTGTTTTACACGATGTCTTTTATGGTCACCTGGTTTGTTTCGTGGCTCCATAACTGCCCCGGGGGTTAAAGCCACAGCTGGAACACATGGTGTTTCTGGAGCCGCAGGTTTTCCAGCTTTGAAGACGAAGGTTTTACCCCAGTTGTAATTATTGGAACCTCGCTGCAGGGGGCGCTGCGGGGACGTTGATGACAACAGTCCACGTTTGGTCCATGTTGTGGTTGGAGCTCAGCTGTGATGATTCTTCTGTGTGTTATTCCAGAATGCTCTTCTTCACCGACTATGGGAACGTGGCCAAGGTGGAACGCTGCAACATGGACGGCACCAACCGGACCAGACTGGTGGACTATAAGACAGAGCAGCCCACTGCTGTGGCCTTGGACCTCGTCAAGAAGCTGGTGTACTGGGCCGACGCCTACCTGGACTCCATCGAGGTGGTGGATTATCATGGCAAGAACAGACACATGGTCCTCCATGGAAGTCAAGTAAGAAGATTGAAGGTCCTCCATGGAAGTCAAGTAAGAAGAACGTCAGCATTTTATTGGTCCACGTCTCCACTGGGTTGAAATACTTTAAAAAATGATAAAAAACTAGTTGGACAGAACATTATTAATACCCATGTAGACCTTTTAATATGGTACCAGGTGTCTCAGGTACTTTTCTGAAGATGACCATTGAACATAATTCCACCTTTTTTTTTCTCTAATTGAATTCCCAGAATTAACCCTTTATGGAGAAATATCTCTTGATTTATTAATGCTAACAGATTTGACTTAGGCTTAAAGATTGTAAAGAAATTCAAATATAATTTTCTTTTC